CCACCATAGCAGGCTGGTGCCACGTCACAGTGGCAGGAGCTACAAGTCCCATGAGAGAGCACGAGCAGTGAGCAGCGAGCAATGCGCAAGGATCGGTGAGCAGAGAGCAGGGATCAAAGAGTAGCAGAGGAGTGAAGAGAGGAGCAATGAGCACCTTACGTGAGTGGGGGGGGTCGTGGTGCCGCCCGTGAGTCAACTGCCGACACACACCTTGTTATGAGCAATGAGCAGAGAAGAGCCGTGAGGAGCAGAGAGGAGCAGAGAGCTATGAGCATAGGGCAGTGAGCAGAGAGGAGCAATGAGCACCTTACGTGGGGGTCGTGGTGCCGCTCGTGAGTCAGCTGCTACCGGCAAGCGCCTTGCAATGAGCAAGGAGCAACGAGCAGAGAGCAGCCAACAGAGAAGAGCAATGAGGAGCAGAGAGGAGCAATTAGGAGCAACGAGGAGCAATGAGGAGCAATGAGCACCTTACGTGAGTGGAGGGGTGCTGCCGCTTGTGAGTCAGCTGCTTCCGGCGCGTACCTTGTAAAGAGCAAGGCGCAAGGGCTAGGGCAAGTGGCAGGAGGCAGAGAGCAGGGAGGAGGAGAGAAGAGAGGAGCAGAGCAGAGAGGAGCAATGAGCACCTTACGTGAGTGGGGGTCGTGGTGTCGCCCGTGAGTCAGCTGCTACTGGCCTGCACCTTGCAATGAGCAAGGAGAGCAAGGGCTAGAGAAAGTGGCAAGGAGCAGAGAGTAGCGAGCAGAGAAGCGCAGAGAGGATGAATGAGGAGCAATGAGCACCTTACGTGAGTGGGGGTCGTGGTGCTGCCCGTGAGTCAGCTGCCGACACCCGCCACCATAGCAGGCCGGTGCCACGTCACAGTGGCAGAACCGGGCGGCAAAGTGCCGCAGGTCGATGGTGCGGATGAAAGCGGGCGGCAGAGTCTTGAAATCGAGCACATCAGCCATTGATACGTAGCCCTGCGGGGGGGTCGTGTGCAGGCGGGGGGAAGGGGGACACGGGATATGGGAAGAGGAAAACATCTCTTGAGAGGTCTTGAAGTCCAGCACATCGGACATAGACACATCGCCTTACGAGGGTTTGCGGGAGAAGGGCGTAGGGGGAGACAGACAGGAAGAGGGAAGAGGAAATGGTAATTCAATACATATTAAAGTCGAGAAATTCGGGCATGGATGGATGCATTGCCCAGGAGGTGTTCGAGAAGGCGGGAAAGGGAGGAAATCGTAAATCATGTTTTCTCCCCACTCCAGTGCCCACCCTCCCCCCTCCCCCACACACTCTTCTTTCTCACCTTCCCTCTGCGCATCATGTCAGAGTAGTGCCCCCACACGTCGTGCCGCGTCCGGTCCGGCTTGGTGTGGTTGAATCCAACTCAGATTTCCCTCACCTATGCACACACACCCATACCCCTCCTCCTCCCTCTCTCACCTTCCCCCCTCGCATCCTGTCAGAGTAGTGACCCCATGCCTCGTGCCGTGTCCGGTCCGGCTTGCTGGGGTCAAATCTAAACCCAAGTCACCCTCTTCTATGCACACACGCCTTACCCCCTCTCTCTCACCCTTCCCTCTTGCTCACCTTCCCTCCTCGCATCATATCAGAGTAGTGCCCCCATGCGTCGTGCCGGGTCCGATCCGGCTTGGTGGGGTTGCGGTCACACCGGCCGATGCCAGACGACTTGGCAAAGTGGGAGAGCTTGGGGGGGATGATGAGCGTTCGGTTGAGCAGACCCGCTAGGCGAAGGCCCCACACCAGTTGAATTACCTAAATAGGGGGGCAGCAGGAGGACGGAGCAAAGAAGATTACAACAGGACCACAGCCCCAAATTATTCCCAAGTGTGATGCTTCCTAAGCCTCGGATTTCGCCCACTTGGTTGCCAAAGCCCCCATGGCTGGGCAACCACATGAACTTCTCATCAGGCCGATAAAACCCGAAGGTTTTGCGAACCTGGTAACTCATAAGGCCAAGATATTTCTCCCACCTGGTTACCAAGCCTCATGTTTTCGCCCACCTGGTTACCAAATCCGCCATGGCTGGCGAACCACATGAACTTCTCATCAGGCCGCAACACCCACTCGTCTTCCCCCCTCCTCCAGAAAATAACCTTAAGCCAAGGTTTTGCGAAAATGGTAACTCACAACGCCCCATATTTCGCCCACCTGGTTACCGAATCCTCATGTTTTCGCCCACCTGGTTACCAAATCCGCCATGGCTGGCGAACCACATGAACTTCTCATCAGGCCGAAGCACCCATTCGTCTCCCCCCTTCCTCCCCCCATGCTGCGCCTCCCCTTCCCCCTCACCTCCCCTTTCCCCCTGACTCCCCCCTCCCCATTCCCCTCCCCCCCGCTCGTTCCCTGTGGTCGGACCTTCCCCTGTTGCTAACTGCTGTGATTCCGCCCCTTTCCCTTCCCCGCCTTGCCCCCCATCACTTCCCCCGCTGCTGATTTCCCCCTCCCCACTCCCTCTCCCCTCCTCCCCCCCTCGCCCCATCAACGCAGCAGCTGCAGCCGCCTCTGCTCCCCCCAGCCCCCCCCTTCCCCTTCCCCCTTCCCCCCTGCTCCCCCCACTGCTTCCCCCATTGCCCGGCATCAGCACTCGTAGTAACGACGTGTCCCCCTCCTCTCTCAGAATATTCGCACTTCCCCCTCTCCCACCCCTTCCCCCCATCCCTTCCGCCACCCCCTGCATTCCCCCATGCTCTCCTCTCCCCCCCATTCCTTCCCCCCCGCCTCTAACTCCCTCCCGGCCCTCTCCTTGCGCGAGAGGTGGGGGGAGGGACTGGCGGAGGGATGGGGGGAGCGAGACGCCCAGGTTGCGCCAGCAGAGGGGGAAGGTGGGGGAGGAGGGGGAAAGGCAGCCATTGCGGTGCAGCAGGAGGGTGACGAAGAGGAGGAGGAAGGAGAAGGCGATTTCGAGGAGAGTGGTGAGGCGGAACCGACACATCGACCAAGGGGCTGGGGGGTGGGTTGGGGAGGAGGGGGGAACGTGGGAGAGAAGGGGATGAAAGGAGAAATACTAGGGAAGCAGGGGGGAGATAGGTACATAGGGTAACCACATAGTCACTCAAGCACACATTTTGAGACACGATGAAATCACTTTTGACAATTCTCAAAAGTCGTCTCAAATTCTACTCATTTCACGTCTCTCAAGCACATAGAGGGTACTACGGTCCTCACCTGATGTGAAAGGTGAGCTGGAGGATGCTGCTTGCGCCGCTGACGGGCTGCCACGTGGCAACCACGATCGCTGCCGCCCCACGCGGAGCTTCCTCCCTGTCCCCCCGCTGCTGCCGCCGCCTCCGCCGCCGCCGCCGGCGCTACCGGGACTAGGAGTTAGGCTCGCCTTTGCTGCAAGGTTGCTTTTAGCTGTGAAGCCGGTTCCCGCGGCGGCTGATGCGGCTGACGGACTGCCGGCAGGGGAGACGGACAGGCTTCTGGACCGGCCGCCGACGGCGATGGCGACGCCGGCGCCGTCATTTGCGGCGGAAACCGCGGCGGCGCCGCCGGAGACTGAGATTGCAGGGAGGGCGGAGATTACGCCATCGGCGCGCAGTCGGTCGGCGGACATTGATTCCGCGGCGGACATTAGGTCTGCCGCCACGGCTTCGGAAGCGGCGCGAGCGACCGTCGCGATGGATAGCGACGGCGGCTCGTCATCTTCCGCGCGTTGCGCGGCGGATTTCGCGGCCGCACGCTTCGACTTGGGATTCTTTTTCGGCATATTGACTAATTTGCCGTTACGTTTAACGCGCAAGGAACATATTATATAGCTGGACGAAGACTTATAAGATGGCAATTAGCGTTTACTGATCAAGACGCACGATAGATTACTCTAGTCCAGGGGCATCCCTGGTAATCATCACACTGACAGGATCTGATAGTACTGCTGATGGTTGATGTGAGCAAGTGTGTGTACTATGTACCGAACTCTGTTGGTTGGTTGGCGTGGCGACAATACCGCCGATCACCTGACAATACCGCTGACTTGACATACCGCTGGTCCTCGATACAATATCTTGTGATTTTGGTAGACTGCTAGACCTAATAGCGACTTGCTCAAGTGTGTGTACTAGGTTCTGCGAAAATAAATTGGGAGCCCCTATCCTTGTTACAGAATTTCATCTTCGTTGCGGCTTTGTACGCTGTATTGAGTGAAACTACAGGCGAAGAATGGACATTCATTGGCCATTGCATCCCAAGTCTGTCCCACCACTCCGAATTTGCTCACCGTACTATCACCCCACTTTTCCCTTCCTACCCCTTCTTTCCTCTCCTGCACGGCCTGATCACGCCCTACATCTGGTGAGGGCCGTTCCTTATGCATCTCTTCTCTTCATGCCCTCTACACTATTTCTCCATCCCGTCATTGCTCGTGCGACTTCACCTGAGGCTCGTATTTGTCATGTGACTCACCTTGTCCGTCTCTCCCTAAGTGACTCTCTCTTATGTTCTCTTCGCTTCACCATGCCATGCAACAGCCGATGTATGAGTAGTATCACATGCAACTTCGGAAGCCGTCGTACGTGTTTGAAGATTTCATGGCGACAGCGATATCGTCAGTGTATCTTCGCATGTTACTGGCGCTGTGCCATTCGTGGCGGACCGAGCTGAGGCAGATTCTTGCACAAGGACATGTAAGATCGTCACCATAGCAAGCGACTCAATGTACCACGTGCGCGACTTTTGACGAGCCTAACATGCGACTGCATGTACCAGCGCCGCGCGTGTCGCTGAAAGGAGAATGAAATCTCTATCGCTCTGTCCGCACCGCATTCTGAAAATGGACGATGTTGACGCCTGAGTGGCGATTCGAGCGCCCTCCAATGTGAGCGTTCGTAAGCGTGGAGCCTACTTCTTGAAAAGGGCCCTCCGCTTGAACGTCGGTTTCCATTTCCAGTAAGAGACACCCAGGCGAAGTAGTCACGGAAACCCCGAAGCTCTCTGACTAGCATCCTTCTATCTGGCAGCCGATTTCACAACCTAATCGCAGCCTTTTCGACCTACATCCCGGCATCATGACTAAGGGAGGCGGTGGAGGCAGTGGCGGAGGAAAGGGAGGCGGAGGCGGTCACGGCGGAGGCGGAGGAAAGAGTGGCGGAGGCGGAAGCCATGGTGGGGGAAGCCACGGCGGGGGAAGTCACGGTGGCGGTAGCCACAGCGGGGGAAGCCATGGCGGAGGCATCTCTCACGCAACCGCTGCTCACATCCAGAGCTCTGCCGCCCGTATGGGAGGTGGCGGAGTCGCCAAGGGGTCTGGTGCTGCAGCAGCGCAGCGAGCTGCTGCTGCCCCGTCCAAGGTGACTGGGAGTGATGCCGCAGCCCTCCAGGGCTTCACGGCAAAGACCAGTGGGGGGGGAGTGGCGAAGGGCTCCCCTGCTGCGCAAGTTCAGTCTATGGCTGCTCATAACCAGGGAAACTAGGTTGTTGCTGTGGAAAAGAGGGGGTTTGGGCTGGTGTGTTAGGCACGAAGTCTTGCCATGCTGTATACCACGCATATTGTTTCTGGAACAGGCCCTCAGATTCGTTTTGGCGTAGGCTGACTAGTCATCCTTAGGAATGGATTCATGGCTGAGTGGTCAGTGGAGTTGGTAAAAAAAAAACTGATTTTCCAGGGTGTCTAGGAGAAAAAAAGCTGAACGATCAGCGTCGTTTTGCGGTGAAGTCTGATCCACTCATATCTTGTAAGAATTACAATTAACTATCAAGATCATCATCATCCTCGTCATCTTCTTCATCCTCACTATCACTAGAGCCTACATCTTCTACAGCATGGGGTTCATTTAATTCCATAGCTGTCGCTCTACCCTTCTTGCTGGTTTCCCCTTGGGTGGAAATAGGGGCATTAGAGAACGGCTTTCTCTTCTTGTAGCTTCTCCAAACGTCGACCACCTCGTCGAACCGTGGCTCGTACGGCATCAGAGACATGCACATCAGGTCTCCCAGCCGTGCATCTTTGAGGCTGCTCCGCTGCCAGGACTTGATCACGTTCTGGCGAGAGAAGCCCCTTTCGCACTCCACAGTGCTAAGGGGAATCACCGCCACTGCTACCCACAACAGCACCAGGTTGGGGTAACTCTCCCGCCAGTCAGGAGTCTTCAAAATCGCCGTGAGGCCATCGTGGAAAGACCTCTCCCCCTTCGGTGCAGAGGCACGGACGGAGCAGAACAGTCGCAGCTCTTTGTGGGCCTGCCGCTTCTTGATACCTGGCATGGCAACAAGTGGAGGGGGAGGAAACAATGCAAGACGGGGCTTAGTGATGACTTAAGCAAACGGGAAGGAGGTGTATTGGCTGTAAAGAGAAACAATACGATGGCATTGAAACAAACAGAAAACACAACTCCACCTGGCAGTATGTCTTCTGCCTGCTCTGCCTTGAACAGCGTCACCAGCGACTGCAGCCACTCAACGCATCGTGCGTGACGCTCCAACTTGCTCTTCGGCCACTCATCCAGCAGGAACAGTCGGACTCCCGACAACGAGTCCAAGTCACTCAGCCGACTCTCCAGGTTCGACCGCTGCACGATGATCGTCGATGCGGGGCTGTTTAGACGCGGCAGCAAGCAGGGCCTCTTGCTTCTCCAGTGCCAGCTTGTGTTTCCTCGTCCCGGCGTGCTTGCGAAAGGCCTGCGTCTGGACGTCGGTAGCACCTTTGCCTGTCCTGCCGCAACGTCCCCTGACACCGGCGTGCTTCGTGCAGAGACTGCATTTGAAAGCAGGCAGACCACGAACAGTTTTGGTAAGTACAAGCCATGGGAAACGCTCAATCCACTTACTTTTGTACTTATCCAGTGCCTCGGCAAAAATCGCATCAACAATCTCCTGAACGTTGATGTCCAGAGACGGGCGCACGGTGGCTTCGTTGACAACAGCTTCAGATACGGGGACGTTGGATGATGGCTTCCAGAAGCTCAGTTTCTGTTGCTTAAGCTTGATTGTGCGCGGTACTGACGACTTCGACGCCGATGTGCCGATGTGAACGGTGTCGGAAACACCGGGCGGCGCGGGAGGGACGGACCGGATGGAATCCGGGCTGGAAGGCACGTTCGGGTTACCCGCCACTGTAGGAACCGGACCGGGTGCAGTGGGCGCTGGAGGTGGTAGTTGGCGGCCTAAAGATCTTAGCAGAAGATATAGCCCAGTACGGGCTTCTTCTATGGCGATGCTATCTGCGTCGTCTACATCGGCGTCACCCTCGTCGTCTGAAAGGCCGGCGCCATGGCCAGCCATGGCGGAACAGAGACGAAAGCGAGCCGAGCACAGAGAGAGCGTGCCGAGCACTGAGAGAGCGTGCAGAAAATTGTTTGGTGCTAGGGGCGAAGGAACAGAAATGAAACCCTAGCGGGCTAGGGTGTGGGGTGGGGGAGTCCAGCAACTGCCTGGGGATATGCAAGAACGATCTGATGAAGCGGGCTTGGTTGGCAAGCTAACCGTGCCACGATACAAGGCGACGCGCCCCATGCACGTACCTGGTTGCAGCTTCGGGGTGGGTGGGGTGGGGGGGTTTCCTAATCGCGCGGCAACCATTTTGTGGTGCTGTGCTGCTGCAACGTGCGTGCGTTGTGCAGCGCTGTTGACTTTCCATTCGCCAGAGAGTGATGTGGTTGCCCAAACAACCAATCAGGAGCGAAGATACCTTCGCGATAAAACAGCAGTGAAGTGAACATTCGGGAATGATGCCATTCCCGAATGCGTTGGCAAGGAATCTTGCCATTTCAGCGTGATTGACGGAGGCGGGGTCGAAGCAGTGTACCTAGACGTCCGGAATTCAGGGCTCTTACGCGAATCTCCACTACAGGGATTTCAGCCCAACCCTTTCTTACAACTCTGACGATACAGCGTACCCTACTGGAAAAAAATCTGATATTTCAGCAAAAACCGATTAAAAAAAACTGAACTTTCAGCAAACACTTTCAAAAAAAAACTGACACAGCAGCCTCAATATTCCCCCACCACTGAAATCACAGCCTTTTTACCCCTAATCAGCCTTTTTTCGCTGACTTCTGAGGGCCTGTTCTGGAGTTCTGTTGGGCCTTGTATAGTGGCTACTGAAATTCTGCATGTTTTACCAGAACCTAAAGTCGACACACCCATACTCACAAAGTCCTACTATCGTAATAAGCTGATAGTGAGGATGAGCATCCCACCTCGTGTTGTGCATTCGATTTCTTCGTTCGCACGAGCGGCTCTCGTGATTGGGTGGGGTCACAACCGCATGCGGGACCCTATTGGTTGGAAAACACACCCTGACGTTGGGCGACCAAATCAATGTGCTCCTTTGAAATTCAGCAGCATTGTACCACGTGAATTCCTCCAAATCGCAAACGCGACTTGAATGACTGCTTCTAGGATGTTCTGCGCAGTTGCAAACATTGGCACTGCAACCGTCAGTTTCGCCTTGAAATTCCACCTTCATTCATACTTTCCCCCCCCCCAACCCCCTTCCCCCACTTCACCACAACTTCCCCCGCCAAGCCCAGCAGTGTTTGCTCGCAGCTGCATTCATAAAGGCGTCGAGCGCCTATTTTCAACCATAGGGTGAATGTGCGCATTTCTCAATTGCTCCAATAACATCAGTCCTGCACCCACCTCCCCTTCGAACCTGTCATGGCAGCCATTCTTCGAATTCCAGCTTCCTTTTCAGGCTATCGTCTCTCTCCGGTCTGCAAGAGTTATTACGGTGGAAGCGGAGACAGGGTCAGCTTCGATAGCGGAATTTGCCAGGAAACCGCTGTTGAAATCCAGAGTCTCGCTTCGCGCCTGGGCGCAGTTGGAAAGGGTTCGGCGGAGGCTGCGGCGCAGAGAGCGGCGAAGGCGCCGTGGAAGGTGACCTCACAGAATGCGCGTACTCTGCAGCAGGGCCTCAGATTGGTTTTGGGGCACCCTGATCACTCAGTGTTCTTTGAGGACTAACACTGATTTTCAGTGTCATCATCTAAAAAACATTGATTTTTCAGTGTTCACAAAAGAATTACACTGATCAATCAGTGTTTTAAATAACATAAACACTGATTTTCTTTGCTAGTATGGGGAATTATGATAGCATCGAGTATGGTTTGCTCAGCACACCACACCAGCACCACGATGCCAGCATTGGAGGGAAACACGTACCTCTGGCTTTGTGTGCTGCGAGGCCAAAACAGTCAAGAGGGTACAGGTTATTAGTGGCAACCAATCAGAACTTGAGAAGTTTACCACCTGGCACGAAGGATGCCATGTGCAGCAAAACAGCTGGCGGTACTGTAGGAGCTTGACAGCCGAAGTAGCAGGTCATGGCGCAAATCACAGGATGAACTCCCTACAACACTTGGGCCAATCAGATTGCGCCGTTTCTAGTTTCAGGGTCGAACTCGATGCAACACTGACTCGTCAGTGTCCTCAAACACAAAACACTGAAAAAACAGAGTTACACATAAAAAAACACTGAAACATCAGGGTCGTTAAAAAAAAAAAGGCTGATACATCAGGGTCACGATAAAAAACGAGGGTCAAACTTCAGGAATTCAGGGTAAAAATCCTGACTTATGAGGCCCTGCTCTGCAGAGCTTCATAATGACTTATTGCGACTCGCAAGATGAGGAGGCATGGTCGTTAATGTCGCAGGTGCAAAGGCAGGCTTGGGAGAACGGCAAGTAGGGAGAAGCGCGTTGGAAGCGCGCACTTCCTACTGAGTTGCGTTGCTTGACATAGACCTCTGTTTTGCGTGGCTGGCGGAGTACAGGAGACTGTGTGACAATTGCAGCGTAGTAGTCTTTGTGTGTGTACAGTGCTATGTAAATACTACATGATTTTTTCATGTATGGGCAAGAGGACGTAACGATTTACTGTGTGAGCACTGTCAAGAAAATTGAAGTTCCTCTACGGTTCCTAGAATAAGTTTCCTACATCTATTCACACAAAAACTGTGAAACTTGTGCATGTTGATAATGTCTACAAAGCTTGTTATGTATTCCACAGGTTGCATCCTTGTTAGATGTTATTGCATCACCTGCTACCGTCAGCCCCCGGATAGAAGCGCCCCTGGGGGTTTAAAAAACACTGTTTTTTAGGGGGTGCGCTTATAATCGAGGAATTTATAAGCGCCGGCGTTTATAAAGTGGCAAACGCGCAAAAGGTGAGATCAGAGTGTGGGAAATCGAGTTTGTAGTTCGTTTACCTGATAATGTGAAATTTGTTTCTGTATTTCGTCAGGATTTCAAATGAAAAAACAACATGCGCTTATAATACATCATCTTTTTTTTAGGGGGTGGGCTTATAATCAAGGACCGGATATAAGCGCCTGTCAGAATGTTATGTTTGTCTAGCCTGCAGTGGGGTACTCAATAGTGAGTACAGCCCAATTTAGGGTTTGCTATATGTACTCAACTGCTTGCTAGTGCAACCCCTCTTTCTCTCTTTCTTGTTTCCAACTTTCCCACTTCTGTTTCCAACATGGAATCAGAGCAGGTCGACCCTTCTGGGTCGATCCTGTGCATGGGCCCACCATTATCTTCCGCTGCTATCCTACCTATCGCGCGCCTCGGGCGCGCACTGTCGGCGCGCGGCCATTTTTCTTCCCGCCGCCCTGGGGGCCGCGCGACGCCCTACTCTGCCCGTTGTGCGCCCCGTGGCGCGCGGCGGTGCCCTGCCCGTCGCGCGCCCCGGGGGGCACGGCGGTTTCGTCGCCCGGGGGGCTCATGCGCGGCCCCCCTCGTCACCCGTCGCGGCGCCAACGGGGGCCCGCGCGGCCCCCCATTCCCGTCGCCCGTCGCGGCGCCCTGGGGGGGGCCGCGCGCGTCCCCCCCCCCCCCCCCCGGTCGCCTCGACAGGCGACGGGAGGGGCGACAGAAGGGGGCCGCGCGTCGGCCCCTCCCGTCTTCGTCGCGGCCCTGCCCGGCCCTGCCGTCCTACCCTGGCCCTGCCCGGCCCTGCCCTGCCCGTCCCTGCCCCTGTCTTCGTCACGGCCCTGCCCAGCTGCCGCCCCTGCTGCGGCCCTACCCTGTGTTGGGGTTTGGGGGTGGCGGGTGTGAGGGTGGCGGGTGTGTGGCATCACCTGCTCCTCCTCCTACTTCGTCTCCCACTGCTGCAGCTGCCGCTGAGGGGGGTGGGTGTGTGGGAGTCGACGGAGTGGTGCTAGGGGGTGGAGTGTGAGTGAACCTAGGGGTGCAGCAGGGGGTGTGTGAAAGGGGGGTGAGACAGTTAGAGGGAGGTTGGGCGGAGGCAGCTGTCGTGTCGCCAGCAGCGCCAGTAGTCCGGAGGCTACAATCTCCGGTAGCCCAGCGAGCCTGCTGCACCAGTCGCCCGTGGGTCCGTTGCTCCTGCCGCTCAGAGTTAGCCGCGGAGCCAGTTACTCCAGTAGTCCGGAGGCTACAATCTCCGGTAGCCACAGTGCGCGCCGCTCCTGGTGCCCGTGTTTCTGCAGCTTCACCTGTCGTCTCCTATCTCTTCTCCTCTCACAGTCCCTCCTCCTCCTCACTTACCGTCTGTGACTGCCTCTAGCTTTACTTATATTTGTGAACTATAAACTGCTGCTTCTTGTACTTGTGCTCAGAATGTGTGGTGACTTTGTGATCCACCCTGAGCTTGTTTTGCTTTGCTTGTTGTGCTGATTACACCCCACTTTGGCTATGGGGGTGTGTCAGAATGTTATGTTTATCTAGCCTGCAGTGGGGTACTCAATAGTGAGTACAGCCCAATTTAGGGTTTGCTATATGTACTCAACTGCTTGCTAGTGCAACCCCTCTTTCTCTCTTTCTTGTTTCCAACTTTCCCACTTCTGTTTCCAACAGCGCCGTCATCCTTTTATAAGCGCCGGCGCTTATCCGAGGCCTGCGCTTCTATCCGGGGGCTTACGGTACTGAAGACTGCCACATAAAAGCTGACTGCCCCACGGTACGCGTACCGAATCAACATCATGCAGGACAAATCTCATGCCACACGCATAATAATCTCATGAATCTAGGAGTGCATGCGCGGCGCGAGCACTAGCAGCAGCACCCGCTGTTGCATTCTCGTGAACGAAGACCCTCACCCACGACGAACTGCGCGCGAAGTAGAAGGGCCTTCACGCCAAACGCATGCCTTGTTCACGCGATGCCACGAGGGCACACGGGCGCCACGAAGGCATGTCCTTGGCTTCCGGTTTTCGTATCCGCCGCGCCCCGAGCACCCATTATCCGATAAGCGAGTCGCCTAGTAGGCAACGTTGGCCTTCACGCGAGTAGTAGAAATCACACATCGAGTGGCTTCTCTTCTTAAAATTAGTAGCTCCGAGCAAGACGAGGCGCATACATACTACCTAGTGCTTCTTTTCTTGATATTTGCCCTATTTCTGTCATGTCGTTCTGTCTTTGAGCGTTTGCCGCAGCTCCAGCGATTTCTCCTGACCTGCTAAAATGGCTACGGTCGTCCGAGTCACGGCCTATCACGGATGCCTCATGGTGCGGATGGCCAAAGGTGGCGGAGGCGGCGGTGGTAAAGGCGGAGGTGGCAGCGGAGGAAAATCCGGAGGCGGAGGCAAGGGCGCAAGCAGCGGCGCTAAAACGGGC